CAAGAAAACAGTGAAGCTCAGAGAACACCAAGGACCCCACAGTTCTCATCCTCCTCCTCTTCCTCCTCCTCCTCCTCTTCGCATACCCCAGTCCCTTGTAGCACTGATGATGTTCCCTAGTTGGGTCATGAAATGTCTGCAAGAAAACATCTAAGCAGCACCACGGACCCAAAAGTTCCACCCCGAGTTACAAATATTCTCCCCTGTCAAAAAATCGATATTTCCACCAAGTCTTTCCTCTTTTTTTTAAAAAAAAAAAACCTCGGCTTTGAAATTCTGTACTCGACTGCAACGTTTCCCCCCCAGGGTCTGGATCACACCTTTAGGATCTAACACTGTAGAGACAACACACACCCACACACACCCACACACACACCCCAACACACTTTCAACGGTGAAGATCGAGCCACGTTCCAAAGGAGGACTATGCAATAGGTAGGATTTGAAGGGGGCTAGGGGCCTTGCCTGAGCCTTCCACAACAGCCATCAACACCTCTTTTCAAGAAGCGTCCATCTTAAATCCTAAGCTCCCAGTGTACATACAAGCAAGAAAGTGACAGGTCACAGATCATAAGTCATAAGATACAAACCACAACTTAATAAATCGTAAGAGGAGGTAATAGGAACAATGAGAGGTGAGAAAGGAAAGGTGAGAAGGATAATAATAATAATAATAATACAGTCCTACTACAGGATTAGATATCTTTAGGCCTAAAACAATGCTGGGGGAATTAGGTGTTCATTAGATGATGGCATGGAGGGAAAAACTACCTTTGCATCTAGTCGCACAAAGTGCTCTACAGAGTTGTCCCAAGAAGGAGTTGAAGCACTTTATGTCCAGGATATGAGGGGCCTGTAGATACTTTTCACAGCCCCGTTTCCGGCTCGTGCAAGTAGACAGGCCCTCCATGGAAGGCAGGCTGGTTGCAATTGTCTTGGGGTTTTTTTTCCTGCAGTTCTAACTATCCGTTGAAATCCTTGCCTGTCCTGTTGGGTTGCAGAGCCAAACCAGACAGTTTATACAGGTGCAAATGACAGACTCAATATTTTTCCCTGTAGACGTGTACCCGCAGTTTCTTGGGCAGTCTGATTTTTCTGAGTTGGCTTATTGGAATGGAATGGGGAAATGAATAGGAGTAGAGTAGAGTAGAGTAGAGTAGAGTAGAGTAGAGTAGAATAGAATAGAATAGAATAGAATAGAATAGAATAGAACATTATTCTGTAAGGCACCTTGAGTTGCCATATGAAAATAGGTAGCAATATAAATTCCCTACATAAATAGAATAGAATAAAATAGAACAGAACAGTTGAAAGGGACTTTGGAGGTCTTCTAGTCCAACCCTCTGCTCAAGAAGACCCTATCCCATTCTGGACCAACCGTTGTCCAATCTCTTCTTGAAAACCTCCAGTGTTGGAGCATTCACAATTTCTGGAGGCAACTTGTTCCACTGATTAATTACCAGAATAACAGAGTTGGAAGGGACTTTGGAGGTCATCCAGTCCAACCCCCTGCTCAAGCAGGAGACCCTATAGCCTTTCAGACAAGTGGCTGTCCAGTCTCTTCTTTAAAACGTCCAGAGTTGGAGCACCCACAACGTCTGCATTACTGTTGCTATTAATCCTCCCTTTCTTCGTTTCACCCATCCCCTCCCACTTGTGACTGTATGACTGTAATTTTGTCACTTGTATCCTTACGATTTATATTGACTGTTTCCTGGTAGGATTTGATTGCTGATTGTACCCTATGACTATAATTAAGTGTTGGACCTGATGATTTTTGACTCTTGACGAATGTCTCTTTTCTTTTATGTACACTGAGAGCATTTGCACCAAGACACATTCCTTGTGTGTCCAATCACATTGGGCCAATGAAGAATTTCTATTCTATTCTATTCTATTCTATTCTATTCTATTCTATTCTATT